AATAAACGTTTAAAAAAAAAAAAAGATAGCAGCGTAGTCCAGTATTTTTATCCTACATTTTTTTCTCCTTTCATGATGGAGGTCCTCTTCAGTGTATAAGCTCTTATCTTCTTCTTAAAAGCATTAGCATTATACTCCAAGAATCTCTGCATGTTATCAAGAATCTTTCACAGCATCATTTTTAATAGCCAAGTGATTATACCACAGTTACTTAATCTTCCTAGTTTTAAATATTAACCCTGGAAGGGGCTGGGCTTACACCTGAGTCTGGTACACTTCATTTACACAAGTGGGTGTGGAGACAGTGAAGGCAGCTCAGGGCTCAACCGCGGGGCACCCAAAAATGGTGGTGGATACTGATGATGTCGCCACTGTCCAAGTGACTCCATGACTCTGACCCACAGCACCCCACGCTCATAAAAACATCAAGAGGTCTTTTCCTTTTCGCTTGGCGAAGTCAACAAGGACAAGGGGAAGCAAGAGTTAATTGATTCTGCGCCCTAATTTTACTCCTGTGTTGCTCCTGGGGCACTAGTGTTCCTTTCTTCTATCCCTCGCCACCATATGTTTTTAGTGTGGTCTTTTTAAAAAAATTTAGATCTTCAAGGTACTGTCTATTATGGTAAATTTAGAAAGTCCCAGACATAGGTAAACAAGAAAGGGAAAATACACCGATATTCCCACCACTTGTTAAGAAACTGGCATATAACTAGTCTGTGACGTTTATTGGCATGAAGAGGTACCAGATCACTGGAAGGGCATTCTGACTCTATGGAAGGCAAATGGAAAATATGTATGCTCGCCCATTGCCTCCCAATTGCCCAGCTTCCTGAGACACCTGCAGAGGGCTTAGCCCTCACTGTGGGCATTGAACTACTGGAGGGTAATTTCATTTGGACGTTAAGCAACTCCTCACGCAAATGTTTTGCAGATGGTCTTTTAGCAGATGGTCTGTGAGAGCAGGAATGGGATTATTAATGTTGTACTTACTCAGCTCCCTTTGCTTTCAACAAAACCTTTCGGGCTTCGTCTGCCGCTTTATTTAGCCTGCCCGCATCTGTTCCGTTGTCCTCACAGAGCTGCATCAGTTTTCGTATCTTGTCAAGTTCACGGGTTAGATTTTGTGATGCTATTGGTAGATGGATGTCAAGTACACGATTTGCAACCTTCTCTATGTCCTCCGGAGGCACATTTTCCTCTTAAATAAGAAGGTGGGTTTTAGGTCATTGTGTCTCCTTATTCAACACTGAATCTTATAAATACAAGCACAACGAACTCTAAGTCAAATGTACTTGCACTTGATTATGTGTCCCTAGAATAGAGGGATTAGAGTGCCTATGTCCCCATGGATTCTTCCTCATCCTCAGTTTCCCCTTCTCTCTGAATACACACTGCACAAATGATTGTTGGAAAAATGAAAAACTACAGACTTGGAATATTGTGTACGTTCCGCAAAACATCCTCCCAAGAACTATTTAAGCACCGATTCAAAAGCAATTAAAATGTTCAGATGCCTGTCATTAAGATTCAGATACAGTGGGGGGTGCCTCGGTGGGTCAGTTGGCTACGCATCCAACTATGGCTCAAGTCATGATCTCATGGTTTGTGAGTTTGAGCCCCTCATCGGGTTGTCTGCTGTCAGCACAGAGCCCACTTTGGATCCTCTGTTCCCCTCTCTCTCTGCCCCTCCCCTGCTCACACTCCCTCAAAAATAAATAAACTTAAAAAGAGAAGATTCAAATACAGTGAATGAGGTATCGGGGAAGCACCAGGTTTGGACTCAACAAAACTCGATTCTAATTCTCCATGACCTTAAAAAGGCACACAGTGGTTGCCCATTTCTATAACTGGGCACCACCAAAGTCCTATTTTGAGAAGACGATGTGACAGTACAGGGGAAAGTACCGGATGAATAACATATTATAAAGAAACTGTTACATGCACCCATGCCCTGCTTTTCAGGAAAATAAAATTGGCCTTCCCTGAGAACTGCAGCGGAAGATCGGCCATTAGGGTTCGGGGTGACAGCTCTTTGTGACTCTCTGGCTCCTTACTGAGGCAGAATGCTACATCCCACATTGGGAGTTGGAGCTCTAATCCTCAAGGGGTTTACCATCAAGTGGGGGAATCTAAGCCATTTCATACAAATACCGATCACATACGAACAGAAGCAATAAATATAAGATGAAATGATATGCGGCCCAGAGGGAGGGGAAAATATTTCAGGAAGAACCTTGAAAAGGCACATAAACTGAGCCTGGAAGACAGTGAGATTATACTCGGGGAAATGTGGGGTGAAGGCAGGGGTCAGAGCATTCTAAATTGAGGGAACCGCCAAAGCCAAAGCTTGGGAGCAATGATCAGATCACTGTTGGCAGGAAAGTGGAGTCTAAATGGGGGTGGGAGGGACCGGAAGTCCCCAAGGGCTGGGAGCAGGACACAGGAACCTCTCAATGTAAGGCTAAGGAACGTGGACTTTCTTCTGGAGACAGTGGGCACCACAGACAGCTTTTAGCTTTTGAGTGACATGATATGAGTATATATCCTTTTGGCAATCATTTTTGCTTTAGCTGTTTTGTCTAATATAAAAGGAATGTTTTACTTCCTGTCATGCTTTTGGGAAAAAAAAAAAGCGACAATTTGGTGAATACATTCAAATCATACTTTAAACAGAATGTACTGTGCTCGGGGAGCTGGCTCTTGTAAGAAATAGTATTTCCTTTTATAAAAAAAAGTTCTAGTAAGTGAATTTCGTTGAACCGCATATCTGTCATCAAACATTTATTAGCATTTATCATGAGAGCATAAATTCAAAATTTTCATATGGGACTTCATTAATAGGGAATTGAGACCACAAGGAAAATATTAAGAGGGTCAAGAATAGCTAAATAGCGTAGGCACCATGCAATTTAATAATACTTTCATTTGGGTTTTATGGAAAAGAGAGAAGAAATTGGTGAGTGAAGGGTATTGCTTCCCAGTGACCAAGGGTCTTGGGGCCCAGATCAGGGAAGTTTCTTTCATGGAATAGGATTTCTCCCTTTGCCTAATTTTTGTTGTAATAATCTGGACACAGTTTTGTTTTTCATTTCCTTAGCGTAATTAAACTTTTTTTTTAAATTAGAAATGTATTCAGCAGCGATGAGAAATACCACTGGTAAGGAAGTAGGCTCTATGACCCAGGGAATGAGGTGGAAGGCAGTTGAACTTGCCTTCAGAACCGTCACTGGGGCCCAGAGGTGTATTAATGCACCATTGTCACACTATGGGTCTGGCAGTTCGGTTTAGTTTTGGTTTTCGTGCCTGGATTGACCCGTGTCTGTAGAAACAGCTAACGCGTTCCTCAATCCCACCAGTTCCTGGATCTGTGTCTGGTCGATAGCAATCCATCTAGCTAACTCACAGCAAATTTGTTTTTGAACGATCATCCAGGGGACCACTGCACCCCCATTTATTTTTACGGATTATTTTGATTATTTTCACCGATTATTTGTACTGCCTAATTTTGTTCTTATTTCGAAAATCAGGACTAGAGCTGCTAATCCGATATCTAGAAACACTGAGATGGAAAAAAATAATTGGCCACAGGGGTCTCTTACAAATATTAAACAGATGAACAAAGTGGTTGCAAAGATTGTAACAGTCATCCCAGTTGTCAGTTAATTCATGTGAGGTGCATTAAATTATTGAATCTGGAAGATGGTTGATAGAGAAGAAAGCCTCTTTTAAATTTTTTTTTTTTAACGTTTATTTATTTTTGGGACAGAGAGAGACAGAGCATGAACGGGGGAAGGGCAGAGAGAGAGGGAGACACAGAATCGGAAACAGGCTCCAGTCTCCAAGCCATCAGCCCAGAGCCTGACGCGGGGCTCGAACTCACGGACCGTGAGATCGTGACCTGGCTGAAGTCGGACGCTTAACCGACTGCGCCACCCAGGCGCCCCGAGAAGAAAGCCTCTTAAGATTAATTCTGTGTACAGTTGTATCCGAACTGCATTACTTGCAGAGTGCGAGGTTTTAGGTCAATTTTCAGTTGTACCATGCGATTTTTTATCTTCAACTAATAATTCTCTATAGTTTAAAATAATCTCCTAAAAAATAAAAAAAAAATACACTTCTCCCCAAATAAGGTACAATGAGGGATAAAAATCATAATTATAATAATAATGAGTCACAAATAGTTCCTTTTGGTCAATCACAGAGAACCATTATGAAACTTGGAAAATAGTCCATAATAGATCTAATACGGTCTGTCAGCAGAGAAAATCATGTCAGATTTTCCTAACATTAGGGAATCTGATAGAATCATTACAGTAGACTTTTTTCTTTAACAAAACATATAACTTTAAACACCGAGTTCGTTGCTTGAAATTTTAACTAAATACTAGATTTTTAAAAATTTTTTATTACTAAATTGCTCTTATACAGAGAGCCATATGTTTTTGGTG